TATGTGAATATGTACATCATAACACCGCAAAGAGGCCGCACTTTTGGCGCACCCTGCATGTGTAATATCCAACTAGAGTAGCGGAAAAGCAACGATACCGACTGAGAAGTAGTGCTTTCTATCAACGCTTGCCACGCCAGTGGCAGATGTTCAACAGGAAATTACGAATAACACTAATTCTACTGTCCTTAAAGTAAACTTTATCGCCTTGGAAATACTGAAATAGCTAATCACAATCTATCCCTATAAGCTTGGTGTTTATTCAAAAAAACATGTTAAAAAAGATGACTTTTTATCTGTTAAGGCAAACTTGAAAAATGTATTTTTCACGAGAGTACATAAAGTATAGAAGTTTTGATATGCTTGAGAAGCCCTTTTTGTAATTAAAACACTTCAACTTATACTGGTGTTGGCAACGCCGAAGGCAATTGAATAATAATCTGCCATTAATGCATGTATCAATGGCCTTACCAGGGCCCGGCACGAGGTTGGGGTTTTCGAAAACGAATTCCCCTTTGACCCCAAAAATTTTTACGAATACCCCTTTGATCCAAAAAGTGATCCCAATTGCGCAGTAACCATTTTACTCAGAAAACAAGTTTTATTGAAGAAAAATGACAGCAGCAAAGAAAAAACAGATGGGAACATACTAAGGATTCTACAATGAGATCAATAAAATAAAAATTTGCAACGGCATGGAGGGAGGGGGGGGGGGGGATTTTTACCCTTCGTATGCTCACAATTATGACCTCTCACCCTCAAGTACTCGAGTTTTCAGTACTCCTCACATTTCCGTCTTCTCACTCACTCTAAAGTCAAGTAATCCTGCAAACATGCTCTTAACACTCCACTCATTCATCCCTCCCCTCAAGTAACCTACTCTCTTACAGTACTTCTCACACTCACCCTCACCTTTGAATACTCTAATCCCACTCCCATTCTTGAATTTCACTCCTCTCACTACTTTCACCCTCAAAAAATTAAAGCGCAAGCTAGTGCTTGCTCTTTGAATTTTTAGACCTCATTGAGGACAACCAGTGGCGCGCAAGTTTATCACATTCGTTCTTTCGCACAATTTGGTAATACACGGACAGGCTGAGAGCAAATGGCTTTGAGCAAACAAGTGTCATTTAATCTGAGGCTAGAAAACTCGCGACAGCTTTGCACACATGTCTAAACAAGATTAAACTTGTTCTCCCCGGTTCCAAACAATAAATGATGTAGGTGAGATAAACAACTGGGTTACAACTTATTGAAGGAATGAGCCGCCGTAGCGATTGGAGCGCGCTTTCCTCCTTAGGAAACGGGGCTGCTGGAGCTATTTTTGGCTCTAGCAATGAGGAGGGGAGGAGGTTTGAAACCAAATATTTAATATATACTAAACTTTAGGTGTAGAGTAGATTTATGTAAATATTTGAAGCAATTATGTGAATTGAAAGTTTTGACAACCTCAAGTTGTCATTAGGTTGTCAAATGACAACCTAATTTGGAAGGTTGGGCACGCACATAATTTTTTCATAATTTTTCATACTTTGCTACTTAGTCCTACTGCGCATATACACACCAAATCCTGCGCGATTTCGTCACTCTGCGTTGCAGACGAGCCATTTTTCCATTTCTTCGGCAGCGAGAAATTTTCAGAAAAAAGTTTGTCACAGCCTTCAGCCACATAATTTTTCTTTGAAACTTCTCAGCTAAGCACTGTAGGCCCGTGTTCATGTACATCCCAAGTTTCATACCATATCGTCATATGCGCATTGCAAACAAGCCATTCGAATTCACAGCTTCATCTATTAATTTTGCAAAATTTTCGGGGAAAATGCTCATTATTCTTCCGTTCACATAAGTTTTTCGTAATTCTTCACACTTTGCTTCCACTGGCCTCTCTCTGTTCGCTTACAAAATTTGGTGCCATATCGTTACGCATACATTGAGAACCAGTCATGTATGTTGTTGCAAATAGCATCGCTTGAGCGACGTCGCGCGTGCGGCAATTAGCGACGGCGCAGTTTGACGCGCGCGAACTCCAGTCTTCGCCTGTTGAGGCACATAACATGTTAAGATAAGCAGAGGACATAAACTACCAATTTTTTCCGGGGCTTCGCCTCGGTCCCCGCAAAAACGATTTCCCCTTTTGTTTTTTTTGCCGAAAACGAATTCAGCTTGTCATTTGACAACCTCGTGCGGGCCCTGTCCTTAGGCTCCCGCCAGAGTGCCGAAGTTATGCCAGCGCTACGCCAGCATTTCGATCGATACACGTGTATTTCGTTGGGGACATCTACCTGCTGAGCTAGCCCCGCCCCAACGAAATACACGTGTATTGATCGAAATGCTGGCATAGCGCTGGCATAACTTCGGCACTCTGGCGGGAGCCTTATCTTCTGAGCCTTAAATGGCAAAATGCCGTGGCGATTGATTGGAGCACGCTCGTACGGAGGGCGGGCATGGATGGTAAGGACGAATTCGAAACGCACAAGCGTACCCTGATCGGCGACGCGGCAGCAACCGCAGTTTTCTCCGCCGAGCACGACAGCGAGCACGAACTTTGGTTTTTAACGCTTTTTGAAGCTTCAGGTGTCGATCTTAGTACGCTTGTGTTTTCCGAATTCGTTTTCGACAAGGGTTTCCGAACTCGATCAGCATCAAGTACTATTGTCACAGAGTGGAATCACACTTTGTAATGTTGATGTCTGGAATTTTCGGGTACAGCCATGCGCACATAGTAGATGGTTTTGGATTTCGTCCGCGAATCTCCAAGAGACTTTCTCCACAGTCTGATTTCACCGAAATATCACGTAGCGGAGAAGCATCGTTACATCTGAGAGTCAAATTCCCACTGACGGATTTGGTCACGACAAAATGTCACCTTTACTAATTTAGAAAGGCCGCACAGACTGAAAAAAGGCACTGAATTGCGAAATGCTTGCTCATCCGCCGGTCAGCAAATTATGTTTGGGGTCCTAATAAAGAATGAGAATTAGTCAAAGTTGCACATGGTGAAAAGTTGAGCCTTGGTGACTTCGGGGAGCAACCACATCGAGAACATAATTGCTGAAAAGTGGAAGGCGAATTATTTATGGTGATTTGTTTTATTGCAAATCCACCCCTACCGCGTCTCGCAATGTCCTCTGGCATCAAAATTTGTAATCGTCACAGTGAGCAGCCTATGTAAGCAAAAACTGGAAAAGAATCTGAAAACTATCTTCCACGTTACCTGCTGTACCCTAAGCTAAAGCAGTTATGTATATACAAAGGCGTGCCATGTCGAAGTAGCTGAATGGTAACCTTCAGAACTAGTCCACTCTGAACAGAGACCTGATGCGAAAATTTCGGTGAACTTCGGCGGAGGCCGTTTAAGCACAGCCGCCGCGATTCTTTTTTCACGAATAATGAGCGGCAATTCAGGAACTTTACACCCCAGTACTGATCTGACTTTGGCATAAAGATCCTCATATGGTTTCAAGCCTCAAAGGACATACTGCATGTAGTAGTAGTGTAGGACCACCACTAGTTTCTAACGAATTCCAGCTTTTGGTGAAAACTACACCCAAAAACCAATTTGAACTTTTCTGCTTTCTACCCTTACAAGCAGGTGAGACCAGAATTGGCAACAAGTTTGCAAAGAAGCCGTAACTTTTCGCTTCTTACAGGGAGAGGATACTTAGTCGAAAGCACCAATCCAAATGGGGCATAAATCATCTTAAAGTGCTTGAAACGCTAATTCCAAATCTATATTTTCTAGCACGGAGCGGTTTTGTATAAGGAGTTATGAGGGGTGTTTTCCTCTAGGGTTCAGGCGCCCACCAGCAAGTCTCCCCCTATCTATGAGCACTGTAGAGGAGTACCAACTGTGGCAATTAACCTAGTGGTAAGTGACTTGTTTGATGAGGAGAGTGTCAAGGTTTTAATCCCCTCCGCATTCAACTTTATCGCAATTTTGGCAAAGTTAAGCTTTTTAATGGTTTTAGACTCCTAAAGCCTGAAATTTCTGATGATACTGATGCTAATCGAAGTTATAAATGTTAAAAAACCAAAATACCGAGTATTATAATCCTTACTGTGATCTTCATTCAAAGTACTTATCACTAGGATAGTGCCACCAAGTGATACTCCTCTACAGTGCTCATAGATAGGGGGAGACCTGCTGGGGGTAACCTCAACTCTAGAGAGAAACACTTCTCATAACAGATCTGGAATCAGCGTTTCAAGCGCTTCAAGAAGATATATGTCTCATCTAAATTGGTGCTTTCGACTAAGTATCCTCTCCTTGTTAGTAATGTTAACAACTGAGTTTATAAATCAAGGCTGGAAAGAATACTTCATCGGTAAACAATCAGCACGTATAACTCCGCTAAGCGGTCTTACTTTGCTTTCCACCACTGTCATACATTTACTTCACTTTACTGATATTCCAGTTTATTGTGGAACATCACCGGTACGCTAAACGCAAACAGTGCATGCAAGGAAGTCACAAAAAACCAAGGGTTCCAGTTCTGCCCTTCCTACCTGCTCCAATAATCGTACGCTTGAAAGTCGGGACGAATTTGAAACACACAAGCGCACAAGATTGACGTCTGAAACTTCAAAAAGCGAAAAAAAACTAAGTTCGTGCTTACTGTCGCGCTCGGCGGAGAAAACTGTGCGTCGCTGCCGCGTCGCCGATCAGGGTACGCTTGTGCGTTTCGAATTCGTCGATGGTAAGGGCGATGGCGTCTGGGGATCTCGTGCATCCTCGTTGTTCCGGAGCAATTTTCTCGCTTCCGAAGCGACATTTTGCGCCGCGACTTAAGCGTTGGCTTGATAGGGAACCCTACTATTATATGCTGCCAAAGGCTCAAGACCCTTAACTTAGGGTAGACGGTGCATGCTGAGCTCATATACCTTAAAGGATTGACAAGAAAAAAAAATAGAGAAGGCGTATATTTCCTATGACAAGTGCATCTTTGAGACTTGTTTAGGTGAAATGACCAACATAAACACGTGTTTCATAAACCTCAAAATTGTGCCAAATGCGGAAGTCTTTATTTATCACGTGTGCCTCAACACTTTCTTTGTCTTTCATGCTTCTTCGAGAGCTCAAATGACTGCTCCCAGAAACTTACTTCGCCTCTGTTTACTTTATGTGATGGGATATCTATGCAGGATATAATGGGAACCTAAACAGCATTGGTGTTATCTTACAGTTGGTAATTCGAAAACCTAATTAATCATAAGCAAAGAAAGAACAATCGTACTTTCTTTCGATTGCACCGATGTTCGATCATGAGGAAAGGTTTGGATAACGTTTCAGCAGCGCCTCCGATTTGAAATGATCCCTCTCTGTACGGGTGGGTGGGCTTAGAAACACGTTGACGACCAGCTGAAATTGAAGTTTAAATTGTGCTCAACTTCGCACTTTTGACTCACAAGGTGTATTATCGAAGATTGTGATTTGTGCATTACTGACTGGTTTTTTTTTACAAAAAAGTGAGCCACGTACTCCAGTTGTCATCCATTCTATGATTCCTTTAGACGGAACGTAGAAGTAGTATGTTGAGAGAAGGTACAAGAATATCAGCCCTCGCATTCTGCATTAACGCCTTTTATTTGTCATATAATAAGCAACGGTACAAGCGATAATCACTCCACCTGAATTTGGTAACTAGTCATCAACAAGTTAACTCGTTGAGTCAACACTTACAGGTGTTTCAACGACTTAGCATTAGATCACTTACTGTTTTGTGAATATGTTTGCTTGATGCTGCACTTTTGTTACTGCATGTACCCCTTTCCTCACGCTACTAGGAGACAAGGTTCAAAAAAAAATCATAGAAGCATATCATTCGATAAAGCGAAGCTCCTAGGATACATTTTAAACATTCGCAAAATAATTTTTGCGTCAATTAAGCTGAAAAATATAATATTAAACCTTTGAAGATTGAATTTTACCACTCTCTTACTCTCCTATACCTATACTCTCAGCATAAGAGTTTAATAGAAAAAGATCGTATTTTTCTCGTAGCTAAAATCAAGAATGTGAATCGAAATACTGTAAGCAAAACAATGCTGGCTTGTGCCCACATGAGTAATTCTATTTTTGCATAAGCAGCAAGCATAATTGGAAATTCTCAGTTTTTTACAAGCGTTGTTTTTCAAAACAAATAAATGTGACGTAAAAACCGAACGGGAGACATTTTGGTATTCACTACCATATTTTTTTCTTTCTTATTCTATTTACAAGAAAAATAGAGCGACTGCTCCTGCTAGGCCGGGGATTTGGGCGAAAATTCGATTGTTAAGCCTTTGGAATTTTTTGAACCTTGACTTTAATCTTAACGTAAGTCCTTGCGCGGATGCTCTAACTTTCTCTTGTAGAGCTTGCTTTGCACTAGAGAACAATTTGATCTATGCAAGGGCATCTCTAGTAACAAACATGTTCAGATACGGGAAGACTGAATGAGACCAATACTTTAGTGCATAATCGAGCAAAACACAACAAAACCGTCGAAGAAAAGAAAGCGTACCGGTAAAGAATGCGTTTCAAAGGCTATTTATGTAAGCAGATGTGGTATAATCGCAGTATAGTTTGATTTTTGATGGAATAAATTGGTAATTGCATCGATGTATTGACGAAAATGCCGTTCCGAAGCATTGCTAAACTATAAAAAAGCTTTAAGATCAAGGAGATCAAAGCTTCAAGATATTAATACGACAAGCCAATGACTCAGCAATAAAGTAGACGAAGCAGCAATAATCTCACGAAATATTCAGAAATGGCATGGCGGTGAAATTCAAAAAAAAAATAAAGCATCCGCATAAAATACAACATTCGACCTTCCCCTTGAAGGCATTTTTACACGACTAATCTCAGTATACTTCGCAAAGTCAAGTTTCTGTCCGAAAAAACTCGATTTGAGAAAGTGCTAATGCACTGCGAAAGCAAGAAAGCAAGAAATTGTAATTCTGCTAGCAAAGTTTTAGATAAGAAGGTGCCAGTGGGCATAGTGTAACGCTTCGATATCAATGCTCTGAGGCCTTCTCATTTTCTGAAGTAAAGCACTTTTCAAACAGAAGACGCGAAAGAGGGAAGCCGCGCGGGCATCTACAACGAACAGGCACTTTCATACATAGCATTCAACTGAGCGCATGTAGATGGTTGCGAATGGCAGAGCCTAAAGCTGAAACCGAATATTCGCGTTCCAATTAACTATTCCGAAAAATACGACTATTCATTACTCGAATCGAGTATATGAAAGAGACAGTAGTCCAAATATTCTTGCATTCTGCCAATTGGAAAAAATTGCTTATATGAATGATCGCTTATTGAATGCCATAAAAAAGCACGTAGGATGTCCGAATATTCGAGAGTATAGTTGGAATCGAAAATTAACCTTCGAAAAATTCCAATCGAGTATCAATAGTTGAATATTTGAGAAAGTCTTTCCGTGATATCGAATGACTTTTGTCCAAAAGTCATTCGATATCAAGGATTGGCGGAGCATTGGCGACGAACGGTCATGTTCTCATTGACTCTCTCTACTATGGTATCACAGCGTCGAACTGCTCCATCAAAGAAAGCTAAGTAAACTGGTACTGGTACTATTGTGGATTTCACCGTCCCATCTTCTGGTAGTCAACCGGTGCCGTAGGGCGAGGATGAAGGTGAGTTAACTCCTCAACTTTATTCGATCGGAAAAAGTTGGCCAAAACTTTCTGAAGTTGACGCGAAACTTACTCTCACGCTTTTCTGATGCCAGAGCCCCAAAAGGCTTTTCATCTCAATCACCCAGTTTTGAACAGACTCAACACCAAATAACATCCTAACTTTTGCTTTCTAAAACTTTATGGTTAGATTTAACTTGTGTGCGGAGATATTGTGCGAAAATAAGATTTCTGCTACATCTGCAGTTTGTGAATCAAAATGCCGTAGAATACTTTTTCCAAAGGAAACCTTGCAATACACATAACTCGAAGATTTTGTATCAAGTTAGAGAGGTTACAGACCCATGAAAGATTGATGAAATTGCAAATGCTTTACTCGACTCTTCTTTCTCTTTTAACAAGCGTTTACATATTTATTCAATATTAAATACTTTACAACCGAACGACTTTGAATTAACATTTGTAGAATAGTTCATATATGGCCAATTTCCAAGATTTTCTTCTACTTCTCCGCTAGGCTTTGTGCAGACAGAGCGAAATTTCCTTCACTATAATTTGGCGACTCTCAATGATATGCTGTGATATTTTTACATGGATCGTTCACATAGTTTTTTTTATATGGATCAAATGTGAAAAACTTCTTGAAAATCTGTTTTTATATGTACCATGTGAGAATAATGCCTTGACGTACGGATTACTGCTTTTTGAGAATTTTTTTCACAGATTTATGGAGGCTAGCTAGGGCACTCGAGTATTTCTTGCGACCAGACTCAAAATCAAATAAAAAAATAAATAAAATAAAGCATGGCCAAATATTTAGGTCTTCTTGCCATGTTTTTCTTCCGGGGAAAGTCGTTCGGCTAAATATGCGTCCCATCTCCTCTTTCTTCCCCACGGAAACAAGAACAAGGATGATTTTTGAACCTCGAATCAACGCATGCGCAACTTGCCCATAATTACTGAATAGCCCGGGGCCTTGGTAAACATGTGGCGGTAGCCGTACGCGGAAAACCGGACACTCGAAACCACCGCATGCGTACAAAAGCCTTCCGTATGACGGTTCCGCACGCGTAATGCGACAGCTCGGCGAGTTCATTGTCGTTCTACTGATCGCGGCAAATGACGCAGCAGCGCCGCGACGCGATAAGCGACAAATTGGTGAGCTCGCATAATTTACTTATGTTTACTTCATTCAGAAGATTACTTGGAGGATTTCGTCCTCTTTCCCTGCAGTAAAATTTCATGGAAATGAGATACCCAAGAAAATAATTAGAAAAAACTGACTTGTAGACGTTGACCTTGTTTCTAACCAACCTTTTTCTCTAAAACCGCAGCAGACATTATATATTTTTTCTCTTGCATTTGTAATATTTGCTTGTTACTCAAAACCTATCATTATTCCTACACTTTCAAAAATTGCTCAAACCGGGCTGCAACCATTTCCTTTTTTGAGCTCTCCTATCATTCTCGAAATTTTCCCTCTCATCCAGCTTTTCACTTCAGGCATTTTTTTCTTTAAGACAAAAATGCGAGCTTTTTTTAATGTATGTGTATTGAGTTGGCTGAGAAATAATTTCCTTTGCGTTGTGGCTCATAGGATTGTTGCAGACAATTTCTATCAAAATTTGATATCCCTGGAAACAGCATTTTGATAAAAATCAGAAGATACGCTTTGTTTGAGTAGCTTTTTTTCATGAAGAAGAGGCCAAAAGAAGTGAGATACGACTTCCCCATTGGCGGAAAGTTTGAAAAAATTTTTGTATTTTTGATGCAGAAAACACAAAACATCTGACCACAATTCTTATTAATGTTCGCTAAAGAGAGGTTATTTGTATGTAACCACCACAAAATTACTCATCTGTACATCCACCACAGCATAAAAGCGAAACACAGAGAATTCAGCTTCAGGAAATCTCGCATTTTTTGGCAAAACTATCCTTTTATTGCTCATTGAAATTTTTCAATAATTTTCAGAGGTTTTTTTGTGATAGTGGAATAGTTTTCTGTGATAGTAGGAGCTTAGATCTACCGTCTTGCAAAAATCTATTCCTAATTAACCACAAGCTAAAGTTCTCGAATTGACATATGAAATAATTGATTTTTTTGGCTAACTCAATATTTTCGAAATAATTAAAATAAATAAAGATGTACTTTGAGTACCTCGGAAAATCTCGGACGCTCCAATTCCATAAAGAGAGTTCGGTCTAATTCTCAATGCAATGCTACCGCTTTCAAAACTCTTATTGGATAATTTATTTAATGAGTCGTCGGTATGTAACGAAAAAATCCACTTTGTAGCCGAAATACAGGGTGTCCCAAAAAAATATATCGAACGTTTGATCGTTAATATCTCTCTTCCCTAGAAGTCTTTTACCTTGCTTCAGTAACCAATCTGTAGAGCTGGCTTCAGCTTAGATTTGCATTATAGAACGAATACTCATCTCTCTTCATTACTGTAGGATTACGGTAGAAACTCCAAAGAGGGTTTTAAGCAATGATAGGCCATATTTTTGCCTCAGAAAGGAAATAAAACAGCCTCAAAACTTTTACATTAGGCTGATTAGAGTTTCTGATTATAACTGTAAAGTTCCCAACCTATTATGATGCTTCATTGAAGAGTTATGCCAGGTAAGAGGTAGCGGCCATTTCTTCAATGTTTCTAAAAAGTGCGGTTACACCGTTTAAAAAGCTTCGTAAGCTTGCAAATAGTAGAGTGTTGAACTCAGCGTCCACAAAAACCCCAGTACACAAGTTTTCACATTTTTTTGAAAAATTTTGAAACGGCAGCTTTTTTCACATTGACACTATATGCTTCAAGTTTCTACCGTAATCCTACAGTAATGAAGAGAGATGGGTGATTCGTTCTACAATGCAAATCTAAGTTGAAGCCAGCTCTACAAAACGGTACTTGAAACAAGGCAAACGACTTCTTGGGAATAGAGATATTAATGTTCAGTTCGATACATTTTTTTGGGACACTGTATTAGGTTGTCCGGAAATAAATGCCCGTTTTGAATTTCAACCGCAATAAGTCATATACTTCTCACTTCTAAATGGGTTGCAAAGCACCATTCGATAGAGCAAAGCAAGCTCTACAAGATGACCATCTCGTTTTTGCAACAGTATTATGTTCTGCATATT